TCTAGCCCTCCTCGCCCCTCCTGTGCCCCCCTCATCCCCCAAGCTCAGCAGGGCCTCATAGCCAGACCCATGGCCTTGCCCAGACCTCAGCTCTCCGTGCCCATGACAGTTGCCAGTGCTTCCGCAGAGAACAGTGAATTCTCACTTGACAGTTTCTACCCAAACCCAATGGAGAGAACCCAGGGCTAGGCTTCAGGAGGCTTTGCATTCGGTCCCTGCTGGGGGATCTCCAAGGAATCCCTGACCCTTAAAGTGCGCCTCTCTGTTCTCTTTGAGTAGTTCTGAGGAGACGGGTTTTCAAAAGGGGTTTGGCCCGGATTTCACAGTGTTCGCCTGTGGGATAGTGCGGGGCTCTGAGAGAGCGGTGGGTTCCCCATATTTGACCCTGGCGTCCGTTGAAGCCCATGGAGTTGTTAAGTGGTCGTGGCAGTGCTGTGGCAAGGCCCCTTTGGCAGCCAGATGGAAGAATGTGAGGCAAGGGGACCAGTGAGGAGGCTGTCATCATAGTCCAGGTGACAGGGGATGAGGGCAAGTCTAGGCAAGATGTTGTGAAGGCAGTAATGAGCCTTGAGAAGAAGTTGGATAAGGGTGGTGAGTGCGAGAGAGGAGCTGAAGGTGATGCCAATGGGTGGGGCCCTTGACAATCATAGAAAAGAATGTCATGGGCAGCGAGGTGATGCCGTGGGTAGAGTTCCCGGCCTAAAGTCAGGAGAGCTTATCTTCCTGAGTGCAAATCTGGCCTCAGACACTTCCTAGCTGTGTGACCCTGGGCAAGTCACTTCACCTTTTTTGCCTCAGTGTCCCCATCTGTAAAATGAGCTGGAGAAGGAAATGGTAAACTGCTCCAGTACCTGCCAGGAAAAACCCCAAACGGGGGTCATGGAGAGTCAGACACGACTGAACAACGTCATAAGGTCGGTGGTCCGGGCACCATCCATCCAGGCCTGCTCCTCCTGGGTGACCCACTCTGTTTCACCCAAAACAAAAAGCAGGGCAGGCTCTTTCCAACTTATTTCCTTTGTATTAACTTGACGCCACATGCATTTTCCACATAATGAATGGTGTCTGTGTTTACTTGGCAGGTGACGGTGGCTCACGGGCTTTGCCATTTGCTTGGGTACAAGCACAGCACAGCAGCAGAATGGCACGAGGCAGGTGACGGGGGTCCCACTTCCCACAATTCCTCAGCTCCCACGCAGACCCTGTCTCAAGGACAGCCCCATTAGAGATACAGCGCGTTCCCTCCAACTAGAGGGTTCGCCTTTTTCTGGAGGGCCCCTCGATGTGCCCCCGGCCCCCCACCAGGGGTGAGGGTCTGGTGAAGGGCGTGGTGGACACTTACTGACATCGTTATCATTGGCTTGAGGAAGAATTTGGAGAAGAGGGTCAGGAGCCAGACCAAGGGGGGGTTGAGGCAGGGCAGGGGGGCCAAGCCGGGCCGTGGCAGGAGGGCAGGGAGGCTGGGCTGGGCCATGGCAGAGGGGCTAGGAGGCTGGGCCGGGCTGTGGCAGAGGGGCTAGGAGGCTGGGCCGGGCTGTGGCAGAGGGTTCTAGGAGGCTGGGCCGGGCCGTGGCAGAGGGGCCAGGAGGCTGGGCCAGGCCGTGGCAAGAGGGTAGGGAGGCAGGGAGGCCAGGCCATGGCAGGGGAGCCAAGCCGGGCCACACTTTGTGCAGGATCTGTCGGAGATGCTCCATCTCAAGCCTGCTTTACCCATCTACACATAAGAGCGTCGTCCATACCGTGGTTAATGAAATGTGCTACCCAACAGACTGTCCTTAATCCTCCTCCTTGCCTCCCCTCCTTCAGATGTACCACAAAGAAAAGGTCACTCTTGAAGCACTGAATGAGGTCACTGGGACCAGCCTCCAGCCACTGACCAAGAACCTCTTTGGATAATCCCCTTCACGGATCGGTAGCAGCTGCCCCCACCCAGAAGAAACCAGTGTAACCTGGAGCTCAGGCTACGATGGCCAGAGAGAGTCCTGCAGGATGCAGTGACCCGAAGGGAAGGGAGAGACGGCAGACCTGGAAGAGGACGGAGGTCAGAGAAGTGGAAGGAAGCGAGGGGGAGTGGGTGGCCCCCCGGCGCTGTGGCCTGTAAGGAGAGGCCTCAGCTCGAGGATCCCCGCCAGCTCGGGCCGGCCCTCTGGCCACGCCATGATGACATCAGGGATTTCTTTCAGGAAAGTAAATTCCAGGGTCTTGTGGGACCCTCGGGCATCTGTAAACAGTTAAATTCCCTTCATCTGCCCAAGTGACTAAGCCAGGGGACAGAAAAGACAAAGCCTGTCCTGGCACAAGCAGCTTCTGCCTCGTGGACGTGCCTTTATCGCATAACTGGATCCCACAGCCCAACTGTCAGATGTTGATTAAGGGTGGCTGGTCTTCACCTCTAATGAGATTATTGATGTCAAACCTGCAAATCCCTCAATTCTGTGAAACGTTTGGGGAAGGGGTAACATGGCATTAAAGGTTTTCACACATTTCTTGCAATCCATCCAACTCTGTCTCTTTTTTTTTCATGAAATCGGCGGTCTCCTGAGTCTCTCAGAGTTGACAAGTGGAGGGGAAGCAGCCCTTTTCCCTGGGCCGCTGTCCTTTGCTCCCCATCTTTGCCAACATGCGGTGGAACATGCACTGTGCTTCCTAAGGTCAAGCGCTTCCTTTGAGTTTGTTTACCAAAGAGACTGACTATTATTTAATGCCCACTTGGGAGGAGGTCTCCAGTGGAGTGCCCCAGGGATCTGGATTTGGCTGTCCTGTGCTCTTGCACATTTGTATCAGTGGCTCAGAGAAAGGCATGGATCACATGTTGATACGTGTCCAGGTGACAAGCTAGAAGGACCTAGAGTCAGCACCCTGAATCCAAAACAATCTGGCCAACCTAGAACACTGACTGGATTGAATCTAGTTAAGATAAATCCAGTAGGGATAAATGTAAAGGCTTACACTTGGATTCAAAAAGTCAGTTTCCACAAGTAAAGAAGAGCTAGATAGTAGCTTTCTGGAAAAAAGATCTGGGGGTTTTAGTGGACCACATGCTCCATGTAAATCAGACTGTGATCAGGCCAACAAGAAAAGCTAAGGCACTCTGGGGGCCTTGAAGGGTATCACTTCCAAGCATAAGGAGATGGCAGTCCAGCCATGCTCTGTCCCAGCCAGACCACTTCCTGAGCAGCACGTCCCATTCTGGGCATCCTTGTTCAGAAAGAAGGATGATAAGCCCAAGACGGGAACCCAGATGGGAAGGGCCTTGAGTCCATGACACAGGAGGACAGGCCAAAGAAACGAAGGATGTTTCCCCTGACCAAGGCAAGATGCAGCAATGACATGATGGCTGTTTCCAACATTTGGGAAAAGGATTAGCCTTGTTCAAGGGCAGACAAGGAGGGGGGAGGTTTGGTGCCAGGAGCACCTTCCTCACAACATGCGTAGTGCCAGAGGGGGAGGGGCTGCCTGGAAGGTAGTGAGCTCCTGGTCTGTAAGGGCACACAACAGGATGGGGACTAGAGCCGACAGCATTAGAGAAAGCACCACCCCCCAGCCTCTCTGAGGGACTCCTAGGACGCTGAAGGGGTAGGGGAGATGTCGCCAGCTTTCCTTGGAGTGAATGAGGCTGGGAGGTCCAGAGCACTGGTAAAGGAGGAAAGCCGGCTCGCCCAATACAGCTGAAGCCTGGACTGGCAAAGTGAGGAGGGGGCGGCCACCCATGACAAGACCAGGGCCGGCTCCCTCTGGGCTACGCACCGTCCACAGGCGGGATCTGGAAGGACAGCACAGCTTCCTTTAGCCAGGCCAGGTGGTCCGGGGCATTCCACTGGAGCTGGGGAAGCAGCTGGCTGCCCCCAGGCCTGGCAAACTCTTGGGCAGGCCAGGACAGGCGGCTCAGCTCTTCTGCCGAGATGAGGGCAGCCAGGAAGCCCAAGACGCTGTTGTGGAGGGCCACGATGGCCCCGGGCTCTTGGGAGGGCGGGCCGGCCAGCCGCCTCTCCTTGCGGCCCTGGGCGAACCACTGGTGGAATTCGTGCTGGACACCATCGTCCGCAAACCGAGCCAGGGTCTGGCAGGAGAGGCCAGGATTGCCGGGGGCACACGAGAGCAGCCACTTCACTGCCCAGGAGAGCTAGGAAGCAAGGCACGGCAAGGAGAGGGGCACAGTCAGCACCCATCACAAAGACCAGCGTGAACGCTGGGGTCAACACCAGCCTTCCTGGGCTTGCTTTTACTAGTGTGCTGTGTTTGCTCAGTGACTCAGTGAAACGTTCGCCCCCAAATGTCCTAGCACACGGGTTGGGAGGAGATGGGCCAAAGTCCGAAGGTCCCGAGGAAGGAGAGCCGACCCCCCTCCCAGCCCCTCCTACTCCCAGGCTCTTCCCATTACAGCCCGCCGGCCTCTGTCTTTTCTAGGCACGGAATACATATGTATGTTTATAAGCAACAGGCCTCCCAGTTGGGACAGCTTTGAAGAGAAGCCAGGCTCCCTACAGCCGTCCCTCCTGGACTCACATGGGGGGTACCCACCCTTGGCAGCATTTCTCCCTCAGATCCCAGGGGCTCTGAGGGCTCCTCTTTGAGGGTCTCTAGAGGCACCCGCTTTAGAACACTTCGCCTCACCTGAAGGTTGCACGCCAAGGTGCTAGGGGAACTAGGAATCTCCACAATGACATATTCAGAAATAAGTCCTTTGGCAATCAAATCTGGAAGCTTCAGACCTTGGCAAAGAAAGAGAAGTCCCTGCGTCAGCAGACCTGCACACGTCTGAGATGCGGCACGTCTCCTAATCCTGATGGACTGCCAGGAGGGCTCCGGGTCCCTCCCTCCCTGGCATCTGGCCGCAGCAAAGCACCCAAAACGTGGCGTGCTACACCCTCGACTCCTGTTGGTGTTTGTATCCCCCACCCTTAGCACCACAGCTGGTACACAGTAGGTGCCTACTAAGCGCCTCCTGGTCGGTTGGTTGATCAGTAGCATCTCCCAAAGGCATGGGGTGGGTCAGAACTTTTAGTTTTAGGTCATTTTCAACACTACACACACCACGTAAGCTAGAGAGGTGAGTCATTCAAAGGACAATGGAGATGGACGTGACGGGCGTGAGGAGGATGAGACCCATGACCGGGTCAGAATGGAGAAGGGCCATAAAGGGTGTCATGGGGGAGCTGTGAGGCCACCAGCAGAGCGGGAGGGAGACGGGCATCCGAGTCACGGCACGTGGTCCGCCCAAAGGATAGCCCAAGGAGGCTGGGGCTGTGCCCCACCAGGGAGAAGCTAAAAGGTGTTCCCAAGCGAGAGGAGAAGGCGCCATGTCTCCTCCGGCCTTTCCACGCTCCAATTTGAAGGGTCCACGACCACCCCCCACCCCGGTGACTCTTTTCATTGTCTTAGAGCAGCCTGTAAAGGAAGGGTCTCCTGACTTAGCTGGGCTGGTCCTCAGGCACACAGGCTGTTTGCCACTAGAGATTGGGTTCTGACAACAGAAAACCAGGGGTGGTGGCTGTGCCATAAAGGACACCGGGAAGGTGCCAGCCTGTCCTCGGGAAGCTCCCATGCCCCACTTACCCTCCCCTACTTCCCTTTCCGGGATTTCTTCTCCTTGAAAGGGAACCAGGACCAGGAGCAGAATAAGCTGCAAGGGTGGTCTGGACTGAAGCGTCCTCTGCAGCCACAGCCACGTGGAGAGCCAGGAGGCAAGCTTGCTTTCTGCCTCACCAACGTTCCTTTCTCCACACGGTGACAGGAGAACAAAGCCGCTGGTCCCAAAGAAAACCTTTTGTGACTTTGCCATCTCACGTTCTTCATCAAGGACGCCATGCACCACCTAGAGAAAAAAAGACCAGAGTCAGAAGCTTCCTCGTCAATTCAAGGCTCACAGCCTTCCTGTCTTTTTTTTTTATAAATCAACAACAACAAAAACCATTAAAATAGCAAAACAAAAGAAAAGAGTTATTAGTACATAAAATGGTGAGCTAAAGTTCTTTACAACTTGTGGAGAATGGGTGCATTGACTTGGTTCTGGTAGCTGTCTCTAGTTTTGTGTGTACATGTTAGATTATTGCTACACTGGTGACATCTGGACGGTCCAGATATGGGGTTTGATTCTGCTTTCCTTTCTCTGCACCCCCTCTGTGCTTTCCCACTTCACAGCATCTTCTCTGCAGTGACTTGCCCCCAACTCACAGTAGCAGAGTCCCAGGGTCCCAGAGGAACATCCGCCTCAGATTCGAGATCTTAAAAGTACAGGGTATGAGCCCCCAGCAGTGTGGTTTCCTTTAATAATCAGCCAAGAGAAACAATTAGCTCAAAGCAAAGTCTGTTCCTAAGGGTTCATAGTAAGAATAGTAACTTCAAAACATCCCCCCAATACATGGACAGCATACTTTCTCATAAAGACACAGAGAGTACATTGGTGGAGAGTCACACATAGAAGGTACAAGTGGCAACAGAAACTCATGCCTTTCCACTGCAGAGCCCCGATGTTCCTTCTCTTCTCATGCTGTCCATAAGGTGCTCCCCTGGGAGAAAAAAATCTCTGCTTGGCTCCCTCGGCCTGTTCCCCTACACAGGTTTTGTTTGTTTTGTCTTTTGCTACTATGAGTAAAGCAACGGCTAATTTTTTTTTCCTACAGATCAGAGCTTCTTCTCTCCCACCCTACCCCCACTTCTTAACAGCATCCTTTGCGCTGGGATCACTGCTTCCAAGGATATCATCAGTTTTGTAGTCTTTACATTGCTTTACAAAAAGAATACAAAAAGTCACAGTTCTACCCGCAGTGTAAAAGATGGTCATCTGGCCATCTTAATCCTCTTCATCAATTTGCTAAGGGTAAGGAGAGGACTGAGTTGTTTTAACTGCATTTCTCTGAATTTTACAGGCTTAGAACATTTTTCCAAGTGGTCATTGACAATTTCTATTTCCTGTTTCGGGAAATGCCTGTTGATGCCCTTTGACTTTGGGAAATGAACCATTGCTTCTACCAAATTCTTAGAGCTTCCAGATGTCAGGTTTTTATCAAATATGCTTACTGCAAATATTTTTCTTAATTTATTTCTTTCATTTTTACTCTCTGTGCATTGCCTTGTATTGTGTGAAAACAACATTTGTCCTCTAATAAAATCCACAGATTTGGTCTTATAACGTCTTCTCTTTGTTCGAAAGATAAGAATTTGCCTTCTCTTCCCAACCACAACATCTCATTCCCTTTTATTCTGATTTAATTTTTTAAAAATCTTTATATCGTCGACCCACTTGCAATTTGTTGTAGTATGTGATCTGAGATTAAGGTCTACTCCAATTTTCCGAAAGCTGAGTCCTCTCCCCAGCGTTCTGTGCTCTTCAATAGACTACAGCAGCAGCTGCCGAATCGAATCCAGCCGAGAGACCCAGGGAGTTCTCACCAAAAGAAAACTTAAAAGGGAGGCCAGGACACCAAGAAGCTTGGAGGCATCTGGGAACGCGGAAGGAGTGACGGCGGGAATGCTGACTCCGCTTGGACAAGCATGTG